ATCTAGAGTTTAGATTTATCAGCATTCAAACAAATTATATAGAAAGCATTATAAGAAGGGTTTCTATTTACATACCAAAAATAAATGAAAAATACTAAAAACAAATACTGCTTTTAAAACATGGATTGATGATGCATCTCATACTAGCCCTTTTAAAGAATGCCTGATCTGTCCCACTCTTTTGGATGAGTGGCAAGTTTAAATATTTCAAAAGAAGGTCAATCTCCCACGTCAAAATGTCAAAGTAATGACAACAAATGTTTTAGATGCTTAAGCCAAGGTTGAATTCAGAAGAAAAAAAATTCACGGACAATGCTATTTCAAATTTTAAATAATTGATGTCAACAGAAATAGCTTATCACAAGGAATATACTCATAAAATATGAATGCTCTTACCTTAATCGTAAAAAGTTCTTAATCAAGGTTAAAGTTTTTGCTGACAAACAGACAAAACAAAAGATTTATATTCCCTAGATCTTCATTTTTGAGGGATTAAAATTGTACTAATAATAAATCATAACCCAATCAATTAACAACCACCTAAATTTTGTTTCATAATTTTATTTGCTATGCACCATATTTATCAGCATTGAAAACATAAACATACACTGTAATGACATCAACAATGCATTCTGCAATCCTTTAAGCATGCTGTTGTGGGGCAAATACAGATTACCAAAATGTATTAGTTCACACTGCCAGGAATAAATTTAACGTTAAAATGACACATATTACAGTGAATATTTAAGGAATGTTTTTTAGTTTTGTGTGAGTTATTGGTGTGTGAATCACACAGACTTGTCACGTAGGCATATTTCATGAAGCGCGCTAGCGCTTCATGAAAAATACGCCTTTGTGCAAGTCTGTGTGATTCACACACCAATTACTCGCACTAAACTGAAAAACATTCCTTATATTTACATTTTGCCTGTTTGGAGGCAACTAAAATATACCCAATATTTGAATTTCTCGCTGTCCTATATTATTGCATTTTACTAGCGTCGCTGCAGTCTCATTGTGACGTCACGTTAATGCACGTTTCTCTGTGTATATTTTTACACGTGAGTATACACGAAAATGTTTTTCAAATCAATTTCACAGTAAGCTTACTAGAAAAACACAGCGAATGTAAATATTGTATTTTACAGATCAGTTCGAGCTGTGACAAGCTGTATGGAGCCATACAAGAGTGCTTGTGCAGCAGATCAGACTTTTACGATGATGATGGGTGGTATGACTCAGGCTGCTATGCTTTGCGGTAACTACTAATTAGTTATATATTTGACCTTTGAATGAAATACAAGCAAATTCAGAGAAAAGTCAATAACCCTTGGCTCCCTTGACTCGGGTACAATAATTCATGACATATTTGTACTGTATTGTCTTCGTGCCCTGTCTTGTCTTTGGATAATAACAAGATTTAAAAAAAAATGAATTAATCAAAGTTAAGACCAAGATGATTTGAAAAAGAATGTGCATCAGATTTTAATGTCAGTCCATGAGGGATATCTGAAATATATTTTCATTGGTACATTTAAAAAAAACTACGTGTTCAAAGAAGGCATGTGTTGCCTGTTTCGTTACTCCATTAATGATAGATAAAAATAAATGGTAAAGGGGTGAGATATGCCTTTGGAAAAGTTAAGTCAGAGGTAATGAACACGTAAAATTTGGAAGCAATGTCTTCTCTCCTATAAAAAGTTAAGGTTATGAAAACCAAGGTTAATATTTTTTTGTGACAGACAGATGAGTGAGATTTAGAAGTGTTCCATCGTTTTCAGAAAAGTATGGAACAGCAAATTAGGGAAACAAATTTAATTTCTGCTTAAATTTCAACAATTTTTTTTGTAGCAAGAATTCAAACTTAAACTATCGCCGTCTAATGCAGTGATCAGCATTAAATCGATCATAAACCTTTTGATGTTGTTTTCTGAAAGAATAAAAAGAGTTGAATTTTTTGTTCAAATTTAGAGTGATTATGCACATGTTAATTAGCACCATGAAATAAGAAAACTCCAATCGGAGATGAGAGACAAGGACATGTTCAACGTTTCATTTTGTTTTTTTAGGAGATTCTGGTTGCAATTTAATGAAATGCTACTCAGATGCTGAGATTTCTATGGACAGTACGGGAGGAGGATCACCAAATAGCAGCTGGTAAACCACTGTAATACTTCATGTTTATTATATAAATAGGGCCCCGCAAGGATTTGCGGGTGCCCTATAGTAATCACTCTGTACGTCTGTCCGTCTGTCTGTCTGTATGTCCGTCTGTCATTCTTCCGGTTTCATTGAATTCTAAAAACAAGAAATAGATTAAAGAAAATTTATTTTTTATTTCGATAAAAAATATTTTTTTCATTTTATTTTTTTACCCTTTATGTAAATTGAAGAATATTATTAATTTTTAAGGTAGTTGTATAAAAACCCTATTCTATCATTAATGCTGAAAAAGTTCTCATTTTAACTTTACAAGAAAATGATGAGAGAGGTACAATTAATCCCTTGGGATTAATTATCCAGCCTGCCGCAGAAAATTTAGTAGGCTTTTCTTTATCTGTCACTTTAAGATTAATGAAAACCTTTGTCTTCAACTGCTGTTTGTTTGAAGTTAAAGGCAAGCCTTCATGATATTTGCATTGATTGGCTGGCATTTTATATAAGATAAGCTTCATTATTGTTCAAATATACATTCAATGATAAGTTGTTCTTTACTGCCTAATGTAAATACAAGGGTATTATTTACAGATTTTTTAATATATAGGAATTATCTTGAAATTTTAAGAATACATTTGTTGTTGCTTATTCCTTCGTACATTTTTTAATCATTCCGTAAGCTGCATCCTTATAATTCTATCCCATGGCGGGGCCCTTGCTAACTGGCCAGTTTTCTAGTTTATGTATTTATTTACGAAAAGTTAACGTCATATACAACATGTTCAAGACAATCAAAACAATATGAAAGCAAATTTCTTCAAACCTTCATTTATATTTAGAAGGATAAGGATGGAGCCACTTAATTGAATGCTTTTATTTTGAAATTCATTTCAGTGATGGATTTATGTCATTGAAAACCTGTGTAGAAAGCCAGGAATCGGCCTGTCTGCAGAATCCACTTTACTCAAGTGTTCAGGAATCTCTCATAGGTATCTCTTATAGGTATAACCTATTTTTTAATTAACTGAAAATTTCGGTAAAATTGATAGGTACGCGAACTCCTGTGGTAATATTTATTTATTTTGCCTTGAAGACAGTCTGAATATTAAAAAAGATCACATTTTCAGCTTTGAATATCTTGACAAGTGCTCCACTTGCAAGGATACTTTTATAAAATTTTGAAAGTTCTTTTTGAAATGCTAGATTTTGTTAGGTGTCCATTTGATGCTTTGCATCAATTTAACTTGTCTTTATTGTTTTAACTTGAAAATGTCGCCTCCCTTTGCAGACATGCTTTAATTAGATATCGTAACATGATACCTGTTTTGGTCGGTCTTGGTCGAACAAACTGGTACTGTATCTCACTATCTGTGTATACGTTCATGCATGCCTGGGAGAAATTATTTGAGGAATTATCATGCCGAGTCTATGTATACATTCATATATCCTTTTCATTTAATGTCAATGTGTTGAAGGATGGACCAAAGCTTTGAAAATTGGACAGTCTCAAAAACACAAGCATATAAGAACTACTTTAGTCTGTATGGTTGTGTCCCCACGGAGGCAGCTAACAGAAAGCGGGATAATAACATTGCATGGTGAATATGTAGAAATTTCGCTCTGTGTCATCTCTAAATAGCAGAAGAATACTCAACTCAGCACAACCGGCCGCAGTCAGATACACTATTCTCATGATTCTGAAGGTGAGTACATGTATATTTAAATCAATTTATTATATTTCAAGTGGGAAAAATCTGTCATAAGTCATGATACATATATTTTGATAGCATAACGAATGTTCTTGTTATAATGGCATAAGTGAACCGAATATTTTTTGAAAGTATGAGAGAGAAATACAGGATAATGTTAGGGAAGTCAAATCGGTCAAATTATTTGATAATTAATATTCGGTTATTCGGAGTTTTCCCCGATTGAATACTCGGTTACTGACAGTAAAATGTAGATAAAGTTTGTTCTTGAGCCTAGTTAATCTCTGTTAACCCACAAACATGTACTAATAAACAATAATTCGATTGGAAATTATTTTGTAGTACTTAAGTTATTTATCAAATAAAAAACAAAAAAAATTAATGCACAATTAATACACCCAAAATTACAAAAGGTTCTTTTGGATCTATTTGCTCAACGCAACAGGAGGACAAACTGTTGTGCAGGTTAGTTCATTAAACTAGCGAAAGAGATGGAATGGATGTTGAAGGGATTGCATGCTCAGATTCTTATAATAATTCAATTATTGGTTTTTTCCAGTGTATACACTAAACTTAATAAGCAAATTGACTTTCAACAGTTTTGAATCTTTAGTTATTTCTAAATATATATTACTTCACTGTTGAAGTGGGTAGCGGCATTTCTATGCATGTCATATTTCACTGCTGTGTACTGCAAATACTTCAATCATTATGATGTTTACTGAAAATAATTCTTGAAGTCACACATGCAAAAATTAAGGACCACAATTGTTGAGAACGACTCTTTGCCTGCTAATTGGTCAGTAATTATTGTATATTCACAGCTACATGCAGAGGCGATAACGGGTGTGTTACAGCTAGGTGTAGATGAAAACATGCTAATTACCGTTTGCATATTTAAGTAAATATTAATATTTTTTGATGAAAATATTTACTTTGAAATAAGATTATCTAACATACATCCGAGTAACCGAGTATCTATTTTTAGTATTCAATACTTGGACGTCGGATCGAGTACCCGGTTAAGTTGACGTTCCTAGAAAATATAAATAATTTAATTTAAATATATCATAAATGGCTATTTGAAGTCCTTGATTTCATTTATTGAAAGTCGGATGAATTGTAAAGGAATATTTGCTGAATATAATTATGAGATATTCTTTTTTTTTCACTTATACACTTTGTAGAAAATTCTAACAAGAGACAGTTGTCAGGAGAATGGTGGAGACAATCTCCAGAAAAGAAAACACTACTGATATTAGGATGTACCAATATTTTACGATCCCTAAAGAAAAATTTACCACAGGAATAAAAAAAACTATTGTCTGGCGTTCAAGGGTCTGACATGGTAGGAGCTCTCCTGGAAAAATATCCATTTATTGTGGACATCATGACACAGGGCTCACCTGTCATCAGCATTAGAGACTTGTGATTTGTTCTACCTGGGCCATAAGTGTATTGAATCAAGACATTTTATAGAACCACAAGCACATTGTAAATCTATGTAAGGTCTTCTATGTATGTTGCATCCTTATTTGATTTGCAGCTTAACAAGACTTTGTTTCATTGGTACTATTTCAACTTAATATACAGAAAAAATCTAAATCAGTTGTGATGTTAAGTGTTTTCTATTACTCATTAGTACTCATTTTTGTGTGAAATTTAATAATTATACATTTCTTGTTCCCAAAAACCATGCTATTGACTTCACCTATTATCATCTCTCCGCTTCAAAAGGGAGACATATTGTTTATTCTTGTTTTTTGGTTTCAATCCTTTAAAATATTTATTAACATTCCCCCTTCAAGATAGAAATTATGCTTCAAATATGTGTCATTAAAGATTTGCACATGAGGACTTGCAATCATGCTTCCGCCTATCAGTACTTTCAGTACTTTTATTATATATGGTTTTTCCTCGGCGGTGAGAGAAACATAGTTCTGTTCAATTTAATGCCTGCGCTATTGTTTTGTTATTGGCTATTTGTTATTTTGTTTTCCCACCTTTTTTGATGGCAGGCAGCAGTTTAGAGCATTTTGTATATGTCTTCCAAACTTAAGATGTTTATAAGGGGGTAAACTTAAAATGCACGTATATTGTACCTTGTGAAAGATTCCAGTGTTTGATTTATTATTCTAGTCTGGTTGACCCCCTTTTGCCTATGTGCATCATGTTACAATGTCATTATTGTGCTGGGGGTCAGATTGTGTAATATTTTGACTAAGATGTGTAATACTCTATATTCGAGTCCTCCTTTTTCTGACCCCCATTTTGTTAACTGTGTTTTACTTTTCCGTCATTTACTTTAATAAATGACATATTTCACTTCAATATGATGTTATTTGTTTTTGCCTGTTTTATCAAAAAACAAGCTCAGTCGTTTGGCAGGAGAACTAAGGAACTTAAATATACATTGTATCCTTAAAACAGTGAGATAATTGTTGAAAATTTAGCTTGTCACTAGGTTTGGAATATCTTTTTTAGAGAATAATGTATTTTAGCAATTTATTTATTATTGCTAAAAATAAATACAACTTTTTTGAATTGTGTCATTTCATTCCTTTTTTCATCAATAAATACAACTATTTCAAATTGTGTCATTGTATTCCTTTTTACATCAATTAATACCCACTATTTCGAATTGTGTCGTTGTACACATGTATTCCTGTTTTACTTCAAAAGGCAGGTAAATTTGACTGCATAAAACTACTATGGAATTAAGAACTAAGCAGTGTTTAGAACCTTCCTGAAATATAGTTACATGTATGTTATTGGTGTCATAATCTGAAAACAATGCACATACCCCCACAATCTGATTTTAATATCTTCATATTATTGTAAAAGCTGACATAAGTTGGATTCTCGGCGCATGCGTCAGAAAAGGGTGAGACACATTCCTCTTCCATTCCCTGTAAATACAGATTTCTAGACTAAAAGATATCAAAACAACATGCAGCTGCAGTTAATATAAAGGCAAATTTATTACAGGTTCTTGGACACAGATTTGAAGTTATTATTTTCTCTATAATATTACGACTTATATATTTTAATAGCATTTCAAACAAAAATTAATTAAAAATCTTATTTCATATAAAAGATATTAATATTTCAAATTTTTTGGTGGATTTGATTGACACATCCTTGCAGTTTAACAAATTAATTTTATTCTTAATCCTTAAGAAAAGTGGCAATCTCGTTGTGTAAAAAATGAAAAATATTAATACTATAATCCAGAAAATTCAGAGTAGACATGTTCGAGAGCAAAACAAACACACAATATATTGTCAGTCCGTGCAGTTGTGGTAAGCAGACTGTGACGATTTAGAACGCACCCGGTGAACTCTAAACATAAACAAAAACAGAACTCGTGCCCTGTTTACAAAAACTGTGTACATAACACGAGTGTGCTCGATTTGCTAAACCCTGTACGCAACTCTTAGTTCGGAATGACGATACTTGTGAAGGAGTTTTGCTTTCTAACATCTCTACTCTGAAAAAATTATATTTCTGGATAAAAGTTTTAATATTTCTCATTAATACACAACAAGATTGCCACTATTCCTAAGGATTAAGAATAAAATTAAAATTTGTGAATGTGCAAGCATGTGTCAATCAAACCCGCCGAAAAATTTGAAGTTTTAATAACTTTTAAATGAAATAAGATTTTTAATTAATTTTTGTGTGAAATGCTATTACAATATATAAGTCGTAATATTATAGAGAAAATATTGACTTCAAATCTGTATCCAAGCACCTTTAAGGTCCAAATGGAACTATTAATTCTTTGTCCAATATGAATGACTCTGGGACATAAATACTGGTATGGGAATAGGGTAGATAGACTACCATAACACATAATTTTTATTACTTTCTGAAGCAAATAGTATTTTACCTCACTATACATGTAGATGGTTGAATATTTAATAGGTGTATTATTGTTTGATATTTACTTAAACCTAATGAACAAGAATATTTATCATAGTGTTGTTTTCTGATTTTTATTTGAAAATTAAAATTAGTCGTATACTTATAAAATAAAAATCAGTAAACGAAAATTGTTATATGTTTGTTTACGATGCGATGTTGGTCTCATTAAGAGTGAATTCTCCAGAAGGACCTGAAAAAACATACAAACAAACGAACGTATTTTTTTCTAGTACCGTCCTGAAAGGAAGGCCAAAAGCACCTAAGTTTGCTCTTTTCAGTCTTTGTACAGCCATTTATATTCAAATGAATAGCAAATTAATGTTCGGAACCAATAGAAATCAGATACATGGTACTTACAAACATGCTTTTTGAGGATCGCTCAGAGTTG